AGGGTGCTAAGATAGAGGTATTGCGAGTGGGTGTACAAAGAATAGAGAGCCTATTTTAAAAAACTTTTTCAAGACAGCCTTTCTGACGTGGTGACGTTTAAACTGAGTGTTGAAGATGAGGGGGCGGTGATGTAAAAAGAGCTAGTAAGGAAGTGGCATCGAGCTTGGAGTTTGCAGGGACTTGAAAGAAGGCTGGAGCTTCGTAAGCAAAGGGAAGGATGGCACAAGATGTGATTGAGGGAGCCAGGCCATTCGGAGCTTTGCATGCATCATAAGAACTGGGGATTTTATTCTAAGGTCCATGGAAAATCATTAGAAGTCTTTTAGCAAGGTAATTCCATGAACTGAGTTAAATTTTTTAAAATGCCATTATGACTACAGTAGGAAGAATGTCATAAGAGGGCCTAAAGAGTAGGAAGGAGAAGGGGTTAATGTGCTATTGCAATAGAACATAGCAACGATAATGGTTTGTGTTAGGATCATGGCAGGGGATATAGAAAGACATGAGTATATTCTATATATATTTTGGCAGTAAAATCAGTAGGACTTACTGATAGACTACATGCCAGGGAGGAGATACCGCATAAATAAAGAGTTTAAGAATGAGTCATAGGTTACTAGCTTGAACAATTGGACAATTGAATGTGGTATCATTCACTAAGCTGTGAAAGATGGGGAGAGGAACAGTAAGGGGTAGGGAGTGGACTCAACAGTCCATTTTAGAAATTTAAGTTTTGAAAAGCCCATGAAGTGTAGATGTCAACATAGAGTTAGAATATTCAGATCTTAAACTCAGCATATCTGTCTTGTCTGGAGATACGTTTTGGAAGGCATCATAAACTGTGGGACTGAATAAAATTACCCAGGAGAGAGTGTGATAACAAAGAGAAAAATCACGAAGCCCAAACCCTGAGGAGCTCCTGACAATGAGAAGTAGGATTGAAGCAGAAGAGAGAGCAAAGAGGGTAGAAATTTGGGAAGTGTCATGCCATGGAAGTTGAGAGAAGGCATTTGAGGGAGAAAAATGTCAAATAGACCAAAGATTGATGAGACGTCACATAAAATGCATTCATAAAACTGTCTATTGGATTTGGCTACCTGGAATTTGATGACAAGGACAACAGCAGTTTTAATTGGGGATGATGGCACAAGACAGATTAGAATGGAATGAAGTGTGAAAAGGAACTGAGGAAGAAAGGACTTTTTAGAGTAGTGTCACTGAAAAGAAAAACAGGTAGATGACTGGAAAAGTTATGTGATGTTCAGAGAGTAATTTTGTCATTTTTGTTATTTCTGCTAGTTAGTTTTTGATGGAGACACTAGATCATATTATTGAGTTGATGGTAATGATCCAATAGCAAAGAAAGTTATTACAGATGCAGGAGAGGGAAGGAATGTTGAGAAAGCATATACTGGAATCCAGATTGCAGATGGAGTCATATTCCTTTGAAAAGAGGAAGGGTCCTGCGTGCCCTACTGCTGTTGTTCCAGAAGGGAATATAGCTAGAATGTGTGGAGATAGACGCTTATGTAAACATGGCTTCTGATGCCTTTAATTTTCTCTGTGACTAATCAGATAAAATTACTGGCTAAGAGAGAGATGTAAGGAGTTGGGAAGTTTGAAGAAAGATGTGCTATGAGTAGGTCATTTGCAGAGTATTAAAATGAAAACCTTGTTAAGGAAAACTCTGTAATATCTGCCCTGAAAACGGTAAATTAGTTCTCTCACTATTCTCAACAACCTTAATTTTTACCTACTTTTGGATATATAGCTTCACCAGTTTTTTAAAAAATATGTATTACAGGAGGAAATCACTTCCATGATGAATCTAGGGAGACAAAAATTTTAATATGGAGAAATTATTGGAAAAGGATAGAAAATTGACACTTTCTTTTCTTATTCTGCCCAAATTAAGG